TAAATGCATAAATGCATACAATAAAAAGGAGATCAAACATTGCAGGTACATTACTTCTAGAACTCTTACATCTACATAAAAGATCTGTTAATTGCATCTCCGAAGAGAAAACCCTTGATTAAGAATTCCAACATAGCTATTACATAAGATTGCAACACATTCCTATTACAAGATGTCACAAAAAAAGATTCCTCCTCGCGATCGTCGGCAACGGCATGCTCGGGGGAGCCTTGGACTTTATTGATATTATCATATGCGATGACTTTCATTCATATTTGCTTTCATTTGACTCGTACTGGTATTGGCAGTACGTGTGTGCATGCTTGAATGAATTCACTTACTTTTCCTTGTTGATTAATCAATATATAGACTTTGATTTATTTTCTTTACTTTGTATGAGAAATTCACCTTAATGGTTAACCAATCTGTTAAATGAGTCTTCAAACATCATGATGCATGCGTATGGGACATATAGTCATGCACGTGTTCTGTGCAATGCAACTACTTTAGTACTAACAATTGTAGTACTCTTTGTTTTATGAGTAGATGACATCTATGTTTTCTTAATATTTGCAAGCCGTATGGGGGATGCATGATCTAACTTTCATCTTATGCGAAAATAAGCTAGATGCGACCTTTTTGAGCAAACACATATATGGAGTAGATAAAAGATATTTAATTTGTTTTGGTGGCATATGCAAGTGCACTACAATATTTCGAGTGCGATCAAACTCAGATTATGACTCTGGTCATCTTTTAGTTTTTTTAATGTATGTCCATATGAAGGGACCATACAATTTATTTTGGTTGGGTGGATGTACACCAATTCACCTAGAATTAGCTAGGTAGGACGTGTCCATTTTACTTTGCATGCGCCTACACTAGATTCACCAATATCTAATTATTTATCGATGATGACGGCTAGCATTATTTAGGGCCAACACATTTTTATAAAGTGCACCCATTTAGTCTATTTTAGAGACATTTGGTTAATATAATAGCATTTATGATTTTGGGCGGCATTTTGTTTATGCACCATGAAGTGGGATGTCAATTTTCTACGCACCCAACTCTGAACATGGTTAATTAAGTTTTGCTACATGACTCAATTTTAGCACATCATGCACACATGTGATCATCGAACTTGCGACTAAGTATGGTGTCTTTTGACGAGCACCTATTGTTTTGCAATATTTTTTATATGCATCTTATTGTTTATAGTTTGTTCCTCATTTTTTTATGTTGATTTTCCCCGAGTCATACCTTTGCCGTGATTTTGTTGAGAACAAAGCCTTCACCCTACATAAGGGAAGAAGTACCTTGATTTGTGTCAATATGACCAAACCAGAGGAACTCATCATGCAACTTGTATTTCTTGACATGTGTCAACATGACCATGGCAAGAAAAAACTATCAAATTTGTGAGAATACCTCTTGACATGTGTCAATATGACCGTGCCAAGAGTAAGATATTAAACTTGTGAGAATACTACTTGACATGTGTTAACATGACCATGCCAAGAGTGAGCTCTCGAATATGGTGAAAATACTACTTGACATGTGTCAATATGACCATGCCAAGAGTAGAAGAGTAAGATATTAAACTTGTGAGAATACTACTTGACATGTGTCAACATGACCATACCAAGAGTGAGCTCTCGAATATGGTGAAAATACTACTTGACATGTGTCAATATGACCATGCCAAGAGTAGAATGCCAACTTTGTGGAGGATGAAGGCCACTTGGGATGTGTCAATATGACCAAGCCAAGATCAAAAATCATGTCACTTGGAGAAAAAAAATTCAAGATCTGTGTCAATATGACCAAATCAAGAACCATCATATGGAGGAAAAAGCAAGGATCATGCTAATTAAAGAAAAGTCCTAGATCTGTGTCAATATGACCAAATCAAGAACCATTATATGAGGAAAAAAGCTACTTGACTCATGTCAATATGACCAAGCCAAGAGCAAAAATTGGGCAACATGGAAAAGAAATCAT